GGTGTCCACCTTCAGGCCGGAGATGGGGCCAGGAAAACACTGGGTCCTGGGCTTGCGGGGAAAGGGCGCTGCGCCGCTCAGGGACACCCTGTCCAAGATGGTGACGCATCTTTCTCGGTACATTGTAGGGGGTGGGGAGGGGAGAAAAAAAAGCTTATTACTGCACTAAATGTTTTTATTGATCGCCCTTGAGTCAGAGCCCACTGACCCCGCAAACCATTAGTGGCCATCGTGAACAACTGTCATTTCCAGGCAGCAGGAGGAGATGCGGCATTAGTCCAGGACACCTCGCCCTGAGCTGTCCCCATAGGCCCTCCACCTCCTGCACCTCCGGGTTGGAGTAAAGAGTGGGGCAGCCGCAGGGTTTCGGCAGGGTCCCCGCAGGCCCTGACCGGCCGGATGGGGAGGGAGCAGAGTCGCCGTGCGCCCCCCCTCACAACCCCCTACTCCCGCTCTGGCGGGAGCCCAAACCGGCGCTGGCGCACCCGCCACCCCCACCCCGTGTCCGTGGCCGCAGCGGGGAGGGCCGGGAACACACAGGACTGTTTTGCAGCATTTCCCATTAAACAATAAAGCGAGCTGTAAAGCCTCAGGTGCTGTGTTTGTTGTGCCGTCTGGGCCGCGCCTGGGCCGGGGAGCGCCTCTTCGGCTGATTCCGGGGAAAGATAAGGAGCCGCCGAGCCACCGGCTCTGTCTAGACTCGCGACCTCACAAGTCAAGCGCCTTGTTTGGATTAGCCCTCCAGATCGGCCAGCCCGATCGGCTCCTGGAAGAGAAGGGCCCAGCAGCACCCTTTTTCCTCCCCCGGACCGCGGCCGCCCCTCCTCCAAGGAACCGAGGGCGGACCCCCGGGAGGGTCGCGGGGCTGGCGAGACCAGGGTCGGGTCCCCCATTCTGAGCACCCACTCCCCCAAACCTGAGCACATTCTGGCCCTCCACGCCCGCTGGACGCAGGCAACGCAGCAGGAGGGACCACTAGGCCGACCGGCGGAAAAGAAGGTGCGCACTTAACCAGATCCTCGAATCACATCTCCCTGCAGCAATGAACAGGCACTTTGGGTCGGTACACTGGCTGGAGCGTCCCAGGCGGGGCGAGGGCTTGGCCGGACCTCTCGGGGCTGTCTGATGGGGCAGGGCAAAGCGCCTTCTCTCCCCACCTGGCGAAAAGCAACCTGACCCCACACCTTCCCCTCAAATCTAGGCGTCCCCTTTGAGGGGGGGGAAGGCGGTTTCCTGTTGAGAACGCTTTGGGTATCATTGCCTAGCAGTTTTGCAGGGGGGCGAGCAAGTAGAAAAGATTTGCAACATAAATTTTCAAAAAAAACAAACAAACATAAAAAGAATCAAATAGTCTGAAGTGCCGCTCGGGGAGGGGGGAGAGAACACGGCTTGTCCAAGCCACAGACACCGGCTTCTCGGAGCCCGCAGCTCCCGCGCCCTAAAAATGAAGGGGTGTGATAGCAGTCCCAAGGCTCCCAGCGAACACGCAGCGGCCTTCCCTCCCGCCCCTCCCCCACCCCGCGCCCTGTGAACCGACTTCTCTGTCTACACTTCAGAGTCCCCGGGAGGTGTGGAGAGATCCTCCATCACGACTTGGGACATTGTAAGCTGTGAAGTTTATGTTTGTGGCGCCTGGGCTCAAACAGCCATTCAGTGGCTTGCTCCCTTATCAAGAAAACAACAATCGGAATAGATCAGTAAACAGAATTGGCTGCCAGCCCTGAAGCAACTACTTGCGTTTCAGTTTAAAAACACCGACTCACACTGTACAAGTTAATTGTTTTTATTTTAAATAGTGAATGAGAATTCAAGATTTGGGGTCATTTTTCAAAAGGAACACTTTTTAAATAAAGGCACAGAAATATCCCTTCCCCTCCCCCTCCCCTAGCACCCCCAAAGAAAATTTGACTTGCCTTGCTGAGATGTAATCTTTAACTGTTGATTAGCAAAGAGGAAGTAAATCGTCCTTAAGGAATAGAACTCAAGCATAATTCAGATTAGAATTATCCTTTAAAAAAGTTGGCTGCACTGAACTTGACAAATAGGAAAACAAGTATTTCTCCTTAGTTAACTTACATTAGGGGTGAGATTACAAACCCTAACTAGCTGGGTTCCATCCGAATGCGGCTCTAATGGTGGTTTGGACCCAGATTTAACTTTCTTTCCCTCTTTTTCCTCAAGAAAAAGGAAGAGCCTAAGTGAATCCACATGGGACTTATGAGATTGTTCAATGAGAAAGACCTTATGGCTTAAAAACCACGGTGCCAGGGAAACGCAAAGTACTTCTAGGTCCCTTAACATCACACTGCCTCTCTGGCTGGAAGTCAGAAGGCTGAGAGAGACCAGAGAAAAGGCCAATTCGATCGCTTCAACAATCCGGGTGTGGGGGGGGGGGCACAGCAGCAGCACCGTCCACTATGGAATTCCACACAAGTTGGGAGCTGGTAAGTGGGTACTCACACGAACTGACTGTCCCAGAAGCAGAAATATTATTTCAATAAAGGCAAAATATCGTCAAAGGTATGACTCCAACCAACGTAGAGAGGGCCATATTTAATGGTAAGAAAGGTGGGGCAGGTCCGTGCGAAGAAGAGGAACACGGTGGACTGAAACAGGAGGTCACCGCTCTGCAACAATAGGGGGAAACCCCGTCCTCGGTAGGAGGATAGATACCCCCGGTGCAGATTCTGATTTAGGGGAGCATCCTGGATGTTTCCCACTGCACTACATTTTCGCTTGCAGAAGCTGGAGGAAATGAGTCATCATGTCCAGAAGGAAGAATTCAGAGTAACAAGGGGAGGGAGGATCAAAGGTAATGGCAAACGGGAGGAGTTTCATCGGAAGACACAGCTCAGAACTCTTGTCTCCAGAGGTGTGCAGGGAGAAAGGGGTGTGCACAGGAGATGGTTTGCAAACAAGAAGACATTTCAGCGACACACTGGAGAGCACATGCTGAGGAGTCTAGAAGGGAACACACCTTTCCTATGAATAATACAAGCACTAGAACGCCATCGGCCCATCAATCCACTCTCAGCCATCAGGCAACAAATATCTTGAACCTGGCAAGGGAAACCAAATCATTCATCACTCCCCTCCCAAATTACTGTACTTAAATTCAAGCTGTGGACTTCGGAACAGGCTGACATCTATATATGGAAAATATCACCTCCTCCCCCCACCCCCAGCTCTAATCTTGGAAATAAATGTCAGGATGATAAAGCATCACCAAGATGTGTGCCTCACCTAAGTCCCCCCATTGCACTCAAGCCCTAATTATTTTCCCCCTTTTTTCCATCTCCAGGTCCTAAGTAGTCCAATGGGTCCCCCAAGCTCCATGGCTGGGGAAGGGGCTTCCAAGGCCAGGGCTCCACGATCAGCAGCCGTGCAACACTCGTGACCACCCCTCCTTACTACACCCCACAGCCCTCCCAGGTGTGATGGCGAGGAATCCTGGACGGAAGAGGCAGACCAGTAGAGATTGTGGACGGGACGCTGGAAGAGTCAAGTCCAGTGCACGCACGGAAGAGGAGGGAGAGAAAAGAAAAGGCAAAGACGGGGAAAGGGCGCCCGGAGAAGATCTGGGCGAGATAAGACACAACTCCTGTTTTTCTCCGCAGAACACAAACCATTATTACCGCGAGCCAAATTATTACCCCTCTGTCAAGAATTAGACACAACAATCAAAGTAATCAACGAGCATGTCTAATGCACGGCAACATTTTCAATGCAAAGTTTGTTTTCTCTCTGACACCACGTGAGAGCCTGTAATTAGCCCGTTCCGTAGACCTCCGCCGAACAAAAGCCTAATTGAGCCTGGTTCCCCCGATTTGCGCAGCTTGGGGAAGGGGGACAGCCCTGGGGAGCTGGGAGCCCGGGGCTGCCCTCGGCCCAGCTCCCTGGCAGGGGTCCGACAGGCCTTTGCCACAGACAAGGGATTAGGGTACCTTAGCTTTCGTATTTGTTACGAGTTCTCGGATACTTAAAACGGCATTACACGCGCCCTACATATGAATCCAGTTTCTAAAGAGTCAAAGCATTATGCGTGGGGGGAGGGGCGGACGGCGGACAAGGTGGAGGCCCAAACCCCAACTCCACACCCACAAACGGAGAAGCGCGGAGAAGCCTGACTTGGGGCTGGGCGATGTCCTTCCGCCCGGGTGCCGGCTGGCACACACGGGGACTATTGCAAAACGCCAGGGGAGAAACGTGCTAGAGGACCAGTCCACGTGGCCTGCAGACAGCGCCCCTGGGCCCCCATCCCTAAGAGGCGGGTCCCCCATGGAGCCCCCACTGCTCGCCCAGACGCAGCCAGTCACCCCTCCAAGGCTTTCGGAATTGTCACCGGGTGGGAGAAGACAGGGGTGGGGGTCCGAGGGCGCTAGGGAGGGGTAGGCAAGGAGACACAGGGGCTGACTGATCTGGGAACGGCTGAGAGAACCCTTTTTCCCTAGGCCTGTTCCTCCTGCACCAATAAAGCAGCATTTCTCCATCCGCCGGCAGCCGCCCCGGCAGATAGTGGTCATACCTCACTGGCTAGGCAGAACGCCTCTCTTTGAGCGCGAGCTTATACTTGAAATATGGGTCCTTTCCACAGTCCTAAGCGGGAGACTTGGGTATAAAGAAAGCACTTGCTCTAAGAAAATAAAATAGTGACTCCGAATCAAAACGCTTTTGAAGCAGGACCGTCTTCCTACTTGGGGTGGGGTGGGTGGGGGTAGGGTGAGAAGACAGACGGGAGGCGGGGAAGGCGGGGAACAGCCCGGTGCACAGCACCTTACTGTCCAAACCCAACAACAGTATTGCAGCCGAGAGCTGGTCCCGCCACTGCAGTGCAGACTTGCAGCTCAACCTTTACTATCTGCAGGGGAACATCACAGACTGGCACTTCCCCCGCCCGTGCGTGTGCAGCACTGCATTTCAGACACTTTCACGGCTTCCTTGTAAACATATAAAAGAGGGACCCTGGATCATTGCGTTTATTTATTTATCTATGCCAAACATTTATTAGTGAAATAGTCCTGAAGATATAATCCTACATATGGCGCTTTGATTTCACATATTTAAGAAAAAAAATGACAAAACACATAGAATTAGACATATAATTCAAAGACCACGGTACAACCTTTATCTTTTTTTTTTACTTCAGCAAACAAAAAAAAATAATGTCAAATGACATGAAAAGTGGCAAGTCTTCCGACAATAAATAATAAATTACTTTATAACTTTTGCAATGCAAGAGCAAACAAAAAAAAAAGTTTCCTTTTTTTTTTCCTCTTTATTTCCAGAGAGAGAAAACAGTCATTTGAACCGATAACTATACACATCTTTGGGGGGAAAGTTCTTGGACAGACACGAGTCAAACACAATCCCGAGACGCTTGTGGCAAAATAGAGGTAACCTCGTTGCAATGCTTTATGCGTTGGTTTTTAAATCTGAATTCAAAAACCTTTAAAGTCGCTTCAGACTTCTTGATAGAGGACGGATCTCAAAAAAAAAAAAAATGGGGGAGGGGCAAAAGGAAAAAAGAAACCAGCTACAGGACATGCTCAGAGACCCAGGCTTTCAATTAACCCCTTGTTCAAGTCAACGGAAAACATGGAGAACACCGACGTCGCGGCCCCACCTTCCTGAAAGGGCGCTTTCAGCCAGGGGGCCGGCTTCTCCTCCTGCTCCTCCGCTGCAGCTCCCGGTGGGCAAGCCAACGACCAGTACGGAAACAGCACCGTTCGGAATCGGGTGGTCTGCAAAATCCCTATTTCTGCTTTTCTCTAGGTGTGCAGTGAAATGAAAATGCTTTTTTTTTTGAGATCCTTGAATATAAAATCCTCTACGTTTCAAAAACGTCTTTTTTTTGTTTTTGTTTTTTCCTCCTTCAGTACTCCTAAGGTCATTGGATAGCGTTATGTTGGGTTCGGGTGTTTGTTGGTTGTTGTAATTCTAGTAAAATCCCATGATTGTCTTCACAGTGTTGCTACCATATTACCTTGTCATTCAAACAGACTTCGTGCACTTCCTGGAGCATTCACTTCTCAACTCAGCTCTCGCGGACTGGGTCGTTAAATACTTTTCTTTCCAGAGTTCAACATTATACGTTCCCACCGTCTCCAACGGGGAAAACAAGACAAACGCGTCTGCGTGAACGCCCCTCACGCCTCGATGGGGCTGGCCACCATGCTGTTCGGCGTGTCCGGGAGCTGCGAGGACATGGAGGCCACTTCGCTGCCCGTGGAGTTGGAGCCCGGCCCTCCTTCGGAGAAGTTGACCTGCGGGGAAGGTGGAGAAGTGAAAAAACGCGGCTTTGCTCGTGTTTGTGCAAGGATTACCAAGGCCTACGCGTGTGTGTGCATACAAGCATCTGAGTGTGTAGGTGGACAGACAGGCAGATGGAGACGTCCGGGTGTGTGATTCAATTTTCAGAAAGCCCACAACCGCAAGGAAGGGAGTTGGAGAAGAAATCCTCTCGCGTTCCCATCTTCCAAGAGCTCTGTTTTAACTGACACTGAATTCCCAATACTACGGCCGCCTTCAATGATTGAAGGACTAACGTGTCTCCCTCTGCAAAACGGCATGGCGACTGCACCACGCATGCTCGGAAGGAAATCGCCCCGCCGGCTGCGAGCTGCCCTGGAGGGAGCGGAGAGCTCTCGGTCTCCCGCCCCAAACCCTCCCTTCTCCGGTGGGAAAATTCGGGACCGTGTGGTGGGGGATTCGGAGGAGGCTCCGAAGAACAGGGACGAACTCCTCGGAGGGACCACAGCGTGGGTTGTCTTCCCTGTGGGTCCTGCTGCCCGTCGGCCGGCCTCTCTCTGTCCTTCTCTCTCTTTAAATCAGGCTCTTCCTTCCGAGAGGAGACCCGTATATTATAACATCATCGCATGATAAATTACCTGGCTGCTTTGGAGCCCAGAAAGCATTGTGTCGCTGTTGCAAAGCTCCTTCCCCGCCCAGCCCCTCACCCGCTGCCCGCCAGGGCTCCCACTTCTCCTGCAGGCGCCTGTCCCCAAAGTTTCAGGAGCTGCCCTGCACCCTCTCCTACCTGCCTTCTGGGATCCGGGTCTCCCTGAAACAGCTCTGAGATTCACCTGACTAAAGGAAGTTAGTTTTCCTAAGTCCAGAGTCTACCTTCCAATCTGCCCTACTGAACTTTCCCATGGGGAGGTCGAGGGACTTCTCCACTGCTCCTGGGCTGGGTCACTTGCAGACAGAAGCCGGGGCCAAGGCCTGTACCCGCTGCCTCGGGCCCCCTCGCCCCGCCCCGGCGTTGCCGCAGAGCAGAAAAGGCCCTCCAGGAAAATGTGGGGGTGAAAAAGCTAACCTCATATACTGAATCATCTTATTTCGCCGGACTCTTGAGCCTTTTGGAGGCGAAAGGGGAGCCCATGTGCTCTTTCCTGGGTGTGCAAAGCACATTAGTGCCACACGGGATTTCACACCGCATCTCTCCCATCGGCAGAACTCACGCTCCCCTTGCTGCGCACACACCCCACGGTACGTAACGGAGCATGCAATTGGGACTCCTACACTCGAGCACGGTGAAGCAGTCCCACATTTTCGACTCGAAAGGCCCCAGGAAGGGGGGTAGTAGCAACAAGCATCCACCTTATCTTTGAATCCCTGAACTCTCCCCTGATATGTCTGAACACTGCACCCGACACATGCCTGCTGCCGACTGGTAGTGACACGGATCATACATGTCCACATTATGACAATCACCTTGATTTAGGCCCTTAAATATACCCTTCTCCAGGGGCTGAGGAGGGAGGAAATTTACTAATTGCTGATTAAAATGTCAAGGTGATCTCTAAAGCCCCTTCTCGCTCCAAGAGGCAGGATTTTGCAAACCTGCCGCCTTCCCACGCATGTCTAGTTAGCTAGGCACCTCGAAACTAATCCATCAAAGCGGGGCTGACAAAAAATTCAGCCTACATGGTCAAATGATGAACTCTCATAAAAAAAAAAAAAGACTCAAGGAGGATTGTTTTTCTTGTGAGCTTTCCTCCTTCTCTTTACTTCATCTCTGCCCAACCCTGGGGCCTGGGAGGCACCTGCCCCGCCCCCACCCCCCATCTTTCATTGTGTAGCAGCTAAACCAGAATCTCCTTCCTTTCTGTGGGAGATTCAGCCCCTCACCCTGGGAACGGACACTTACCAGTTGCTGAAAAGCAGGCTGATCTATGTCACTCTGCAAGGCGAAGTCACTCAGTACTTTCCAAGGTGGCTGGTAACTCTGCACCTCCACCGGGTTTGCCTGCAAGCCGCCGTCGTGCCTCTCTGGGCTGGCAGCCACCATGGGAGTTCCTGTCATCCCCTGGATATTCTGTGAATAGGCACCCCCCCCCCATCCCAACATGTTAATGAGCAAACTCCCTCCCTCCATTGTCTGCACGGGTTAAACAAATATACCCAGGTATTATCTTATCTATATTGTGGCTTTTATTGACTCAGTAATCTGCTGCGCGTATGGATATGAGCAGGAGTTGGGTTTTGTTTTCCTGCGTTTTGTTTTTCTGCTTCTGTGGACTGGACTACTAGGTCTGCTTGGATCCCACGTTAACCCCAAATCTGCTCTAACTCCTTGCCGTTCTTCTCACGGTTTGCCCTAGCCCTCCGCCAGCGGCCCGGGCCACCAGGAAGGCTGAGGCCGGACAGGCCTCCTTCCGGCCTCCAGACGCGGTGGCCTCCTGGCCAGTTTCAGTTCGATTTTCTCCAGGCGGCTCTCCCTGCAGGGCCCACCCCCACCCTCGAGCCTTTGGGTCTGGCTGCTATTGTGCTTTTAAGCACTAACCAACCTAGAAAGTGCCCTGGCTCAGGCTTGGCCGGCCTGCCAAGTTTAATGACAGCAGGTTTTATGGCATTTAAAAATAGGGCCAAAGCAGTAAAAGAAAGAAAAAAAAAAAGGAACTCTTTAGGTTAATGTAACCAGAAGGCCTGTGGGGTGGGTGCTGGAGCAGACAAGGGATGACCGTGCATAGTAGTGCCAGGGGCCTGACATCTCCGGAGGCCTGGGCTTGACCTTGAGCAGAGGGTGCCCTGTTTTTGTGGGTCACCTTGGGGGGGGGGACACTCACAGGCCTCAAGGTGCTGCATAAGACCTAGCCAGGCACGGGGGTCAGGGATGGGAGGTGGGCAGGCAGGGGACCCCCCCAGGGTGACCCATACCCTGAAACTCTGGATTTCACAGGAAGCCAAGGAGTGGTCCGCCCTGTCTGAGTGTCCAAACCAGAGCCTGGCCTTGCGGCCGGCCGCCTGCCCGACAGTGGTTGCTGTGGAGGGTGGAAATGCATTTGAAGGGCATGGACCCTTCCATGCAAGCTGGGGGTGTGGGCACCCACTCCAGCTCTCAAGAGGGCAGTACCCCCTTTTACCAGCAGGCCGGCCCAGCACTGACTCTCCCTGAGATTTGGGTGGGGTTTGGGGGGCTGCCTGTCAGGGCTCCTGTTCCGAGTGGGAGGGAGACCTGGACGCCGTGCACCAGCCAGCCCACCTAGGCAGCCAGCATACACCTGGCGCGCCTCCTCGGCCTCCCTTGGTCCCCTGCCCGGCGGCGGCGGGGCACTCACGGTTTTGTCATTGGGCTGCTGCTGCTGGAGCTGCTTCATCATGATGCTCCGCTTCTTGTCCTTGCACCGCTTGTTCTGGAACCAGACCCGGATCACGCGGGGGCTGAGGCCCGTCATCTCCACCAGCTGCTCCTTCATGAGCGCGTCGGGCCGGGGGTTGGCGGCGTAGCAGGTCCGCAGCGTGTGCAGCTGCTTCTCGTTGAGCACCGTCCGCACGCGGGTGGTCTTCTCGGGCTGCTTGTGCACGTGGGGCCGCAGGGCCGGCTGCCGGGCGGAGATGGGCTCGGCTGCGGGGCAAGGGGCGCCGTGAGCGCAGGCCGGGGTGCTGGCCCACCCGCCGCTCCCGGACAATGGCCAATGGCTGGTACTTTGCAGCCTCGACAAAGCAGGGGCGGCAGTGGCAAAAATCTTGCTCTCTAATCTCAGAGGTCAAAGCTGAGTAATCCGCACCGGAACGCAGATTCCGTCCGCTCTGTCAACACAGCGGTAGCCGAGGGGCGCAGGTCTCAGGGCCTGTCCCCCTGTTTGCAACAGGGGTGGCATCCTTCGGAACTGTTTCTCCCCCCTCCTCGCCTTTCCTCACACCCAGGCTGGGCCCAGCTTATACCAAGGACCCCACCCCAGGTCCCTTGGGCGAAGGTCACGGAGGGTACCAGGGAAGGTAACACAGAACACCCCAGTGACACCCAGAGACACCACGCCAGCCCGGATGTCTGCAACGGGGAAGGCCAATGCCCAGGAGAATTTGGCCGGAACTCTCTAACTTCAGTCCGGAGGCGCCTCTCCTGTCAAGGGGCTGAAGAGATTCCTATTTCCATCACCCCTCCAGTCCTTGACCTTGCTTAGAACTAAATCTACCTGGATGTTCCTGAAATGGGCTGACCCCAAGCAAAGGAAAATGAGCTCCGTGGAGCTGCCTGGGCCCTAGCTAAGGAAGCCGGGAAGTGCTGTCTCCTGACTCGGGCCCCTCTTCCAGCCTCGTCTGTCTCCCTACGAGCAGAGCACAGGTTGCACCCAACCAACAGGAGCTGCCACCTCCGGTTTTGCCCCTGTGTGAGAAAGTCCCAAATCCTGGGGGGTGGGGGGTTGGGGGTGGGGGAGGGATCGAATTCTTGGAGCTGCCAGAAAACAGAGGGGGTGAAATGTACTTTTCTCAGCCGGAGTTTAGTGGGAAGTGATACTTTAAAAGTGCACTGGGGCAGCTCTGCTCGCCACTGGAAGGCAGGATTGAAAACACTGTCTGCCTTCTTACCCGGGGCCTCCTCCTGCAGGAGGTCGGTGCCGTTTCTACTCTCCTTGGGGGGGAGGGGCACCGTAAGGCCCTCTGATCTGTAGGGTACACATTCTGCACCTTCCAAGACCCCCCAGGGTCAGGTCAACACCTATGGGGTCAATTTAGTGTTATAGCCACAGGCCCCAAAGATGAAATTCTCACCAAATCACTTCGAATGAATGGTTTAAAGAGGCAGGCTCCCTTTAAAAGGCAATTACTGCAGATTAGCTTGTTGACAGTTTTAAATTACAGCTCTGTGCAGGCCTGCAGTTACCAAGACTGTATCTTTTCATGTTCATTTTCTCACAAAAGGATACAAATAAATTTTAAGCGTGTTTTGGAGTGTGGGGCAGTTGGCAGGGAAAGGGGATTGGAGAAGCTAAATGACTTAAGGCCACCTAAACTTCCTTCACGGGGTTGAGGAGGCAGCTCCGGGCCGGAACTCCACCCCTTTAATTAGGCAGCAGCAGGGCGAGCACCTGGAGGGAGCGATGCCCGTTTTCGGTAAGCCACAGCTTGGAGGCCAAGGTGAACTGAAGTACTGCTGGGGCTGTGCTGTTGAAGCACTCTGTGTACATGTGTGCACAAGCGGTGCACACTCATGTGTACCCGTATTTACACACACAGACCCGCAGGTGTGCTGGGCGAGGGACAGGGGACAATGAGTGCATTGAACCTGGCGGCGAGAGAGCCGGAGCGGAGCGGTGCAAACCGCACCCCCTGCCCTTCAGTTAACTGCCGGCCTCGCCGCCGCCGCCGCCGCCGCCACAGCCACCGGCGACCGCCCGGCGGCTACCGGGGCCTGGGCCACGGTGGCCGCCGTGCAGGGCTTGGGCGAGGGCGGGCCGGCCCAGCCTGAGGCGCCTCCCGCGCCAGCCAGCGAGCCGGCCTCCCTCCGGGCCGAGGAGTACCTGCCATTTGCAGCGGCCGGGCCGGGTGCAGGGGGCTGAGCGGGTCGCCGGCGCCCAGGCTGGCCCTCTCCACCACGTCGTGGTCCGCGCGGCAGAAGAGCCCGTCCTCCCGCAGCGCGAACTCGTCCCCGGGGATGAGCTGGCGGCTGCAGGCCACGCATCGGAAACACTCGATGTGGTACACTTTGGAGCGGGCGCGCATCACGAAGTCGTTCTTGCTGAAGCCGATGCTGCACTTGGCGCATTTGATCCCGTACAACCTGCGCGGGCCGGGCGGGGTAGAAGCACAGGGACAGGGGTCACTTCGGGCGACACCGTCCCGCCCGAAAGCGCCGACTACTACCGGGCCACAAGGCCCTGAGCCCCCACATCGAAATCGGCACTAGGCAGACAAGCGGGGAGGGGAAGAACGGTGTGATTCGGTCTCCCTCCTTCTCCCTTTCTTTCTTATCCTCTTCCTTTCTTGCGAATCCGTGTCTCGGCCGCGCTTCTGAGATTTCGCCCGGTCTGCACCGAGGACCAATGTCTGACGTGCTCTGAACCCTGGGCCGCGGTTCCAGTGAGCAGTCACGGGGAGGCCCTTGCAGGCCTGGAAGGGAAGGAGTCCGGGGGGACTCGGGTAGCCATGGGCCCTACACTTTCTAGAAAGGTCTCTAAACCTGCAGCCAAAAAGCCCTCCTTCCCAGAGGAAAAGAGACGGTCGCCCCACACGGTTTGCAAACACACACAAATGCACAGGCAGAACAACAAAATGAAACCAGAGGGATTCCAGACCCCCCTCCGCAGAGTCCGCTGCAGTTTTACCAGGATCTGAAGGCTTTTCCGCGGGCAACACTGTTAACAGAAAGTTTCCCCTGCAGTCTCCCTTTCATTATTATTTTTAAAATTTGCTTCTGCTCCCTCAATCTTTTCCCAAATGGCTTAAGCGTGGATGTAGCTCTATTGCAGTGTGCTTGAGAGCCAAACCAGCCAGAAAACTGCAAAGACCCACTGCTAACGTTCTCGCTGCTGACCTTTCCTCACCCAGGGACAAGCGTCCTAGCTTTCTCGTCAGCCGCACTGCCCTGGCCCCCTCACTGTGTATCGGCAATAACAGAAGCTGGGGGGCATTCCTACGAACGGAAGGGAAGGGAGGCAGAAGGGGCGAACAGACCCACACAAAGCGGGGAGGCAGCACCTCACTCCCCTAAGGGGAGAAAAGCACTGGGGAAGCTAAATGATCTCTCCCTCCTGCTTTCCTGCAGTTTCAAAAGGACACACACACACACACACACACACACACACACACACACGAGGTGAGATAGTGGAGAGGTAAAGGTAAAAGCAATTGGCTCCTTCTACAAACGAGTAAGGAGAATTGGGCACAGGCAGGTCCGTGTGCGATTGAGCAAAACAACGTCTCCATAGGAGGAGGGGATGCTGTTGGAGGTGCAGAGCGAGCTCCCCCTCCCCAGGACCTCCGGCTCACACACCAATCAAGTAAACAATGAAAAAGGCTCATTTGTCAGAGGTTAGAAGGTAGATTCAAAAGTTTCGCCTCCCTCCGCCTACTCTAACTGAGATCTTCCATTTCATAGGACGAGGGCCTCACCTTGCTTGTGACCAAACAATTTGGAAAACCCCTCCCCCTTCATCGGGGTCCCCTCCCCCGGTTTCCTCCCACTCGGCCCCCACCTCCAGCCAAGTATTCATAAACTTTTTTTGCACCGTTCAATTCTAGCCATCAAGACCCTACTTTCCACTTTCATGATTTTAAAATCAGAATTGGGAAATCTTGGGCACTAAGTGAGCAGAAAAAATTGTGAGTGTACAGTTAAATCTTGCCTAAACTTTATAAGCTCTCAGTTCCAGAAACTCCACAACTTACAAAAGCTACTTTCTTATTAATAGCCACTAGAGAAATTTTTTAAAATGTAATTTTGATATATTTTAACATACTAGCAAAAGTGTTACGTCTTCTGTTTGCTATTGAAACGTCTTCTGTTTGCTATTGAAACGATACAATTTTTTTAAAAAACTTCAACTGGCTTCCTAAGGCAGGTCAGAGAAAATCTGCGATTAGCAAAGCATGAAATAAAAACTCAGAATAAATGGAAAGAAAAAAAAACCTCAGAAAGTTTCTTATGTGGTTTTAGCTTTGTCAGTACGGGCAATTCGCTCATTTTATCAGTTACCAGATTTTAATGTGAGAAAGGAAGCTGTTCAATTATCTAAATATACCGATTGTTCGCAGACAGATGATGGGCAATTTGATCTGCTCTGTCTAATTCATCAGCTCAGATAAGATAAGAAAGAAAAGACAGATGTCACCAAAGGGTTAATATTTAAAAAGATTAAATTTCCGGTATTTTTGCAGAGAATATTTGGTTTGGTTTTTAATTGTTCTACGTAGGAACTCTTAGCCTAGAAGTAAAAGCCTATTTGCTCTTTCAAAATGTATCTTTACATACGTTTGGATCAAACTTTTATTCCGCCCCTTACACTGGTATCTCCAAAGAACTGTAACTTACTAAGAAAACACTGAGCTGAAATAAACATGTAGAAATGAAAAACACTGCAGGATGCAACCACCACCACCTTTTGGAAGAAGTTTAGAAACCCCAAATTACCCACCTTTACGTTTTTTGCTGTTTGTTTTGGAAAGGGGAGAGTAGAAGAGAAAACTAACCTGAGCCCCACAAATTCCAAGCCCCATTCCACAAGCTTCAATGACCACACAATTAGGAAAACCACTATCGAATTGTGTGTGTGTGTGGGGGGTTCCCTAAAAAGTGAGATGAACAGCATAGTTTCATTTATGTCATACAGGTTCAGGGTAACTTTGGCACGCTGGATCCCACTAAGGCCAACTTTGCAAAAAAGGCAAAGCCACGTCAAATAAAAAATAAGGAGCTGGGGGGGGGGGGTGCAGGGAAATCTCACACAATGAAGGACGCGGTACATAAAGGGCATACCTGATATAATCTCTTTTACAGTAGGTTTTCCCATCTCTAACAAAGCACGTACAGCTCTCGTCCAAATACTGATTACACTCCGCACATTTCAAACATGCCGCATGCCATTCCAAATCCGGAGAAACCCTCAGAATATACTGATCGTGAATTTGATTGCCGCAACCAACACATAGGGAAATCAGACGTTTTTCTGAAATGAAAATAAATACATGATTGACTAACCGTTTACTTCCTACAGAGATAAACACACTTTTAGTGTCGTTCTCTTATAGGGCGTACTCTGGGAGTTGTTTTTTTTCCCCCCTTTCTTTTTTTTTCTTTTTCTTTAAAGAGTATTGCACTTTGAGATGGTAATTGAAGTGTGCCATCAAAACCCTGACTCATTTTTAAAAGGAGGCGGAATAGATGTAAAATGCAGATTTGAATAGTCCACATTTGTAAGCCTAGCACGCAATCAAACCCGTTCATTTTGCATTTTTCCTCCCTCCTCCCTCTTTGCCATAACCGCTGGAAAAGATTATGGATAAGTCAAGTCAAAGAAAAGGTTTTGACTAGAAGCGTTAAGTGAACGCAGGGATGTCTATATTTTCCATGAAGCAGGCTCTGAAATAGCACCTAGGACTGGATATTGTTAGCAAGAGCACACATCAATACAGTTGTCACTCGTTCTCTTTTGCAAGTCTAATGCTACTTCACATCCCCGGTATTGTACGTGCAGGCAGACCTCTGCAACAGAATAACCTCCTCGGGGAGCTCAGGATTCCCGGGGAGGGAACCCCCACTCAGCACCAGAAGGCTGGGGCTCTGGAGGGCACACAGGCGAATTCAGACAGAAGGTACGATCAGTTTCCCAAAGATCAGAACCCACAGCAAAGCATGCAGGCGTGGCGGCACCGAGAAAAAGCCACCTCCTCTCTCTCTCTCTCTCTTTCTGTCTCTCCAGGCAATGACTGCAATTCCGAAGCCAGCCCTTGGCACCCGTGCCTGAGAGAGACCCCCGCACAGACCAGCACACCGATCCCCACAAGGTAAAAGAGCCTCTTACTTTTTGGTGGATCGCCCATGTCTCCCATATCTGTAAGAGGGAGTAATGTCCACAGTGAAATGGTGGTTGTACAGTTGGTGACCAGCCCACACAGAGGATGCCGGAGCTGTGGCTAAGTGGGAGACCGGGGCCCGGGGGCCGCCGAGGCCGAGCCAGCCGCCGCCGGGCCGCGCCGCGCCCTCGCGGATCGGAGAGTCCCACTGCAGCCGGCGGAGCGGGCGGAGCGGGCGGAGCTGGCGGAGCGGAGGCGCTGCGGCGGCGGAGGACTCGGCGCGGCTCGGCACCTCTCTTCCTTATCTCTTACTCAAACTTCTCTGCTCCAACTCAGCTCCCTCGCCATTGGTCTGACGCAGCGCGCGGAGACGTCAGGCGAGCGCCGCGCCCATTGGCTGCGGGCGCGCGGCGCAGCTGTTCTGATTATCATATTTCAGCCCCGCCGCCGCCGCCGTGCGCCACTGGCCGCGCGGCCAGCCCGCGGGAGCGGCGTGGGGCTCCCCGGCCCCTCGCTCCGGCCCGCCGCTCCCCCGCGGTTCCCGCTCGCCGCCCGGCCGCCCCGGCTCTCGGCCCGGCTCTCCCGCCGCTCCTCCTCCCGCCCCCTCCCTCGCTCCTTCCCGGCCGCGCCGCCTGCGCCCCCGCCGCCCGTCGCGCCGCTCCTCCGGCCTGCGCTCCTGGGGTCGCCGCCGTCCGGCTGGCGGTGTTGTGCGCGGGGCTCACTTTTCTGCCGCCGGTGGCCGGTGGCTGGTGGGTAGGTCTTCCCGATGATGAAGTCCCTCCCGGGTTCTAGCAAAGGGGTCACTGGGGACAGTCAGTCTGGCTCGATTTGGTCTTGCACTTGGGCGCACAGCTCCCAGCCTGGCCGCGCTTGGCTGCCGCGGAGGGTGAGTTCCCGAAGTGGCTGTGTTTGGAGCTTCGGGGGAAGAAGGACCGGGAATAGGACGAATGGACCTAGAGGACTTGTTTGCTACTGCTCCCCCGGGACCCTATTCCCTCCGATCCCAGAGATCCAAAAACGCTGGGCGGAAGGGAAGGGGCCTTCTGGCCTTAGCGGAAAATCAGGTTGGAGGCGCGCAGGTAAAACTAAATTGGCTCCGCGGACTCCTCTCTTCCCTTTTCGACCCGCGGTGTCTGCTTTGCAATTTAACTCTGGAATTAGGAAGCGTGCTAATTCGAGTCCAGAAAGACCTGGTCTTCCATTAGTTTTGAGTTTGTAAAAAGGTTGTCCTGCCCAGTTGCTCTCTTACTGGTCTCCTGCCCTTTGTTGTTAGCAAGCGTGTACAATTAGCTGGTGGCGTTTGAGTAATTGTAAGGACCGGCTCCGTGTGCCTCTATAGAGATTTTTAAAAATGCGTTAGTCTAAGGGCATGCAAGGGAGGGGTCTAAGAAGTGTGAAATACCTATTTCACTTCGCCCGGTGTGTTTATCTGATCATTTTCTCTCAGAAAACAACCTGGAGAAGGAAGGATGTTGGCGGCAACTCGCCGGTACCCCTTTTCAGCCATTTCTTACTTGTTCCGTCATCTTTCAGTCCCCCTAAAACAAAGTCCCAGCGAAGCCACGAAGAACCCCCCACACTTCTCTCAAAGCTTCTAAATAGCTTCTCCTTATCTAACGTGACTGCCAGTTTTATCTGAAAAGGCCCACAAATGCAAGCAGCAGTAGAAGGGGTAATTTCGGTGTCTGGTTGCTGCCAGTAAACCCGGTGTGTTAGGGAACTCCTTGCATTGTATCTTTCCTAGATCTCCCCAGATAAGAGCCCGGAGCCCCCAGCTGGCCGCCGCGGCTTGGTTTGCTCAGAGAGAAGCTAAAATGCCTGAGTTGCCGCCCGATCTAGCTGAGGTTTTTTCAAGAACATGCAATTTTTTATGTTTTGTTTTCTCTCAAAGAAGATCTGTAACTAGATCTCATCCCTGTTATTTTTATTATAAGTTACATCAGTATGTGTGTGAAATCGAAAAGTGGATGCACATAAATTGATAAATTTACCAGATTTTGGGGTTTTGGTCATAATTTCTAGTTTCTGGTATTTATGCATGGAGCCTTTCATCAGCTGCTTTTGCAAAACTGATGCTGAGAATCATAACACGAAGCAAGTCTTGCCAGTCAGTATACGGGCATATTTCCTTTGTAGATAACAAAGTTAACTCTACTTAAAAAAAAGAGACCACTATAATGCCAGAAATAAATCAAGGATTTTAACCAATCATATTCCATCATGCCACCTTTGTAACATGGAATTAAACAACGGAAGCTGCCAGAAACCCGATGACTTACATTTGAAATTCACAAAGCACCCTCACCATGCACCCTCCTTCAAACCAGCCCCACAGCCAGTGTGGCATGGGAATCCCCTCAACTAATAAGCCATTCCAAAGAATTATGGCTGATGTTGATAGCAATTCCAAAGAGAAAAGCTGGCATGTACCTTGGAGGGAAACCGTTAGTGATGGGCAATTTCATCAGAATGGTGAACAGAACCATGTGTTTTGCTTGCTTCAGCCCACTGTTACTGTAAACAAGTATTTCCTTAATAAGTTCCTAGGCCAATGGTTGCAAAGATCAAGCAGACGAGACCCCCTGTCCGAGGGGGAAATCTGAGGGTACCTAGTAATTGTTTTGTGATGGAGAGTGCCCTGGAATTGTGTCTGTTGCTGATACATTTTGTATTAAAATCAAAGTTTGGGTAGCAGGCATTATCGTTTCACTTAACCTTGAAGTTCAAATATGATCACAGATTATTCCGGTTTCCATTGTTGAGACGTGCACTTAATGCAGTAAATATATCTGTGAAAGATTTTTGTAATGTTTTTATAGAATATATCAAATCCTGATCAGCAATATTTCCCCCCGGTACTTGGTCATAGGAGCGACCTCTTGTGTTCAGAGGGGGGATTAGACCCTCTCTTGTCAAAAGTGGACTCATTTTGACCTTTGAATAGTCTGCCAGTTCAAAAATCTATCCTTCAGAACAGCAGTGGTGTGAATCCCCTGGCGTGAGCTCTTCTGCCGAGAGAAAAAGAAGTATGTGAGTAGTTATTAAGTATAGTTCCCGTTCCTCTCAGGCCACTCAAATATACTATACGGTGTCTTTGAATAGAAAAGAGATGCTTGGATTTAATTAAGTTCCTCTTGGGTCTGTGGCATCTGCCCACATGCACCTTCCACAATGCAGCTCTTACACCTACAACTCCTGGTGAGCTTGCAGGCCTGTATTTGCATGTGCTGTTACTTTCTCTCTGCTTTCATTAAAGTGGAAACATGCCACATCAAACCTAATGCCAGCTATAGGTTCCTGAACAAATATGGTCTCAAGATGCTTTTCCAAAAATCCAAAGAGGTTTTAATTGCAATTGAAAAGTGGCATTCCACATTTCCGATTTATTTATTCCCCAAACAACCTCTGGCAGAGGTAAGTGAATTTTAGGTTGGTTCTTTGGGAAATTATGTACAGTAAGGGAGAAAGCTTTTCCCTCCCCAACTAACCAAAACTGGGAAGGGAAGGGGGCTTCCGTCAGCTTTCCCTGCGCTGCGGGTTTGTTTGGGAAGCGAGTCCCAGGAATGTGGTGCTCTGTGCAGTCCACATGGGAGTCGGTCTGAAAGAGCAGGATCACAATGGGGATGCCAACGTCCATACGTGGGGTGTGCAGACGAAAATGTAACTGAAGGATTTACATTTTCTGATATCCAGAGCACGTAATTTGGGAAGAGGGGGGTCAAAATGAAACATTCACCTCAGGGAAGATATAGAATATATCCCATTCCCCCTTCTTACTTTTACTTCTCTGTGTAATCCAGTCATGTAGCTAAAATAAGACTAGATGAAGCATCAGTACCTTAAATCATGGCTGGGAGTCAGATAAAATTATATGTGTTTAAAGGGAGTCATGGTTAACCATTTATACTCCACCCAGAATGGAATTGTGGGTGTTTAAAGCTAATTTGTCTCTTCCAGTCTTATTGTTGGTGGCTTATTGAGGACGAATCAAGGAAATCAGCGCTCTAATTTCAGGGGAAAAAAGCAAAGGGATCTTCTTTATGTACCATTGGGTATGAAATGATCTCTTTTTCTCTCCTGTTACCTTTTTTTTAAAAAAAAAGAATACTAAGTAATGGTAATAATAAAGGCAGTTGTTAACAACGACAACAAACCTGTAGTTGCAATTCTCATTTTATTGCCAGAACTCCTGCTGCGATGGTGGTTTTGTTGAGTGTCAATTGCTTTATTAACCAGTTAAAACAATCTAGGTGAATTAGCAAGACTTTTCTTACGCACACAGGGCTTTCCAGCAGTGTCTGTGAGTTCGGGGGCCTGTCACCAGCCTACCTGGTGTTCTCTCCTGGGAGGCAGCGTTAGTGTGCGGTCTGCTGCTCCGTTTTCAGCCGAGATAGAATTCCAGGCTCCCGGCGGCAGCAGCAGCAAAGCCGCAGACCTCAGAGCAGGCGAGAGAAGGCGAGATTCGGCAGCTCCTTGCCGGGGTAGAACTGTGCTTTTGGAAGTAATTACCGTGACTTCACAAAAGCGGCTGTCTGGCGGTGTCAGGTGGAACCTGTTTTCCCTCCCTTTGGAAGCCCTAGGTGACTAGGAGCGGCACATTTTTAACTGGACCGGGCTTGTGCCTGCAGCCCCTGCAGGAGCTGCTGCGCGCAGTGTGGCTGACTAAGGAGTTCCGGCCCAAGGACGCACTGAACCCTGCATCTGGCAAAGCCTCGCTTAAATGTAGCCGATGCCCCTGGGGCCAGTTGGAGTCCGGGGAGGTGAAAATACTTTACAGGCCCAGCCCTGGGCGATTGGGCTGAACGCTACGGCATCTGCACAGGATCTAGCCAACATCCCCGGGCCCACCTGAGCTCTCGGCAAATCCAGAGCACGTTAACTCAGTGCCGTTGAACAAATGACATTCTTCCTGAAATAAGTGACACCCTTTCTCCCACTGCAACCAGTCCAATGGGCGGCTCTCATTTCAGCACCGAAGGAATCATTCCCAGAGCCCCGCGGAGGTTGACTGGGAGCCGGCGTGGGGGAAGGGAGGCAGAGGTACCTCGGAGGAAGGAGGTCCGGAGGAGGAGGAGGAGGAGCAGCAGCAGAAAATCTCCAGCCAAGCAGGGGAGGTACGTGGAAGCCCGGAAATTTACCAGGATGCCCCAAATAACCTTTCCCAAGTCTCCGAATTCAGCGCTCCACAAACAGCCTCATAATAGAGTCCAGGGCTGGCGCGCGCTCCGGTGGGCTGCGGAGGTGATGTCAAGAGTTATAGCTACATTCTGTGAATTAAACTGGTGGCTAAAG